GACTAGCTTGACACAATTTTTTTTTAAAAAAAATAAAATAAAAAATAAAAAAAGGTAACGCTAAAAAGACATCTAAACTGGACAGGCTGTAATATATCGATTATAACTTTTGATCTGTGACTCTTATTTGGACGAAACCAACTCTAAATCAAAGATAAAATACGGGGCTACAGATCCATAGGTGGCACGACACGTAACTCTTTCTAGAACTCCGGCTATGACCAAAACAAGTTGACTCTTGTGCAATATACGGGAATAATAATCCGAGTTGACTCAAATTTTTAAAAAAAATCTATGACTCGACTCTAAAAAAATAAAATAAAAAGGGTTTGATTAAAAAAAAGTCAATAAAAAAATGCACATATAAGCATATTGTCACGCATGATGCAATGAAGTTCACAATCTAAAGTCAAGTTCTATGTTCGACTATGGTCAAACTTTTGGGTGTCAAAGGGTACCATGGTTAAGAGTTTGGACGCGTTAGCAAGGCAACCTCCCTTGAGGGTGTATGCCAACGGGCGACTCCGCGAGATCGTGATGAAATCGAATTCGACTCCATGGTTTGGGTGGATTTAAAAACTCGGATGAACCCTTATTGTCATGAACGTTTTCGTGTTGATAGAGCTTAAATCCCCCGGGCTAGCCACATACGTAGAACACGTACTATTGTGGCAAAATAGGTGACCTAAAATGCATATGCATATGTGACAATGCCAATTAAATCGCAGGAATACAATTCAAGAATCTTTCAAGTCTCATCCACTCATCTCAATTAAATACCGATCACTCAAATCGATAAATAACCAAGAATCCTCCCCAGTGGAGTCGCCAAATTGTAGGCGTCGCTCGAAGTGTGCCTACGTTAAGCATGTGTGAATATGCTTGGCACTCTTAGGAAGTAGGAATTGACATAATACGATTAGGGACAAAGCAAAGTAGGGAGCCGCCAACAAGTTTGTAAGGAACTTGTAAACCGTTCACGGATCATAAAAGGCAACCATGAATAAGGGACAACGATAGGCAACAACGATTGACCCGTGAAGGTTACACCCCATTCATAATCCATGAGATTACTAACTCCATATGGTTCGGAACCAAGAAAGGAGGATCGGGGATGATGGTACGAAGTGAGTCATGGAGTCACATTCGCCCGTATTGGCCTCTACTCGATTCTTATAGTGAAAAGTGATTCCTGCGATCTCAAAGGCATACAAACAAAATATTCAATTTGCTCCAAACTATTATTAAGCTTAATTAGTTTAATATTAATGCAACACATTATTCTAAAATATTTGTGATCACTTGATTAAATAACAAAATTAAAAGGATCCTAAACCGGTTGTCCAAATTATCTTATTAGGCGTGATTTTCAATTACATATTCCCTTTGAACATGCAATATGGTGATCAATAAATATAATAAAATAAACATTAACATTGGAAGCAATTTAACCATAATAGCGTTAGTCAAATCAAATATAAAATAACCTAATCATGATACTAGCAATAAGAAAATAAAATAAGAGAAATTAAATTAATTAATAATTACTCACATTCCGCGCGTTCCTTTAAATTGCTACATCATGAATAAACTGTTAGTAACTTCAATAAAAATATAAAGTAAATGGAAATTAAATTAAATTAAAAGTAGAGTTGATTTGGTCCAAACCCTAAGTTAATTCTACCTATCACGCCTTGGTTAAAGTATAGAACTTCAGGTATTGCATGGACTCCTTGGAGTGCTTAAAGGAAGAAATAGTGAAAGAATGGGGAGGCTAGTGTTTAGGCTAAAGAGGGAGCAGAGAATTATTTTGTGATCAAGCTTGTTGATTATTGGAAAAAATGGGAGATATGACCTCTATTTATAGAGAAAAAAGAGGGTCGAAGAATCAAGAAAAGATAAGAATTCGAATCGGATAAAACTCTTGCGATAGACAGCAGTTTTTGCGGTTTTTGTTTTTATCATATCTTTTGATCCAAAAATCGGAATAAGATGAATAAGATATCTTTAGAAAGATATTGAAGTCTTCTTTCTAATACAATTTGAATAAGATTAAAATATTTTGTATAAAAAATGATATAGCCGAAATAGTGAGACGGTGTCAGTTTTGGATATAGTTTGACATTTTATTCATATCTTTTCCGTTATAGCTCGGAAATGATATTATAATATATAATTGGAAAGATAATTTCAAGGGCTATCCAACCATATAAATTTTGGATAAAAAATATGTGTCACGAAAATAATATCTGTCTATCTTTGAACGTCTTTCAATCCGGATAGAAATAGGATTTTCAAAAAGAAAAGTTTTATTCAATTTCAAACTCTTTAATCTTATCTTTTCAAAAATGATAATTAGGATCTTCTAGAAACTTATAGAAGTTTCTAATTAATCATAATTGTTTTAGGAATTGGATTAAATCATTTGGACCCTCCACATGATCATTGGATCGTAGGTAAGGTGGGCTTAGGTTCGATTTGGGCTCAGTTTAATATTTTGGCCATAATTTATTCGTTATAACTCAGATTTGGGATTATAATATATCATTGGAAATCCCTTTTCAAGCCCCATCCAAATATTCTATCATTTGACCCAGATTATGGACCAAAATAAACTGGGATAAACGTTTTTTTGAAATGAATGATTTTAAAGGATACGAAATGAATTATTTTGGGTTTAAAGGCACGAAAAGAGGAAAACAAATTATGGTTTGGTGAAATGGTCTAGGATTTGTGTTGGTTTATGAAATGGAAATATGGATTTAAGCACTCCAAGATTAAATACTCAACCCGACCAATAATGGCGGTGAAAGGTTGTTCATCATTGGGTTTGGTTTTGGGGAGACATTTTTAGGTGTCTACACTTCTATAACTCTTTTATCCCTTTTTCTTTAGTTTTATATGACTTTTTCTCTAGTTTGTGCTTTCTTATTTGGTTTTCCCGTTTTCTTGCATTTCTTAGGTTTATTTTGCTTTTTCTCTTTTATTTGTTTGCTTTTCTTTGATTTCAGGAGATTGGTGATTTCTAAGAAGCTCAATGGCTTTTTCTCGGGATTTGTAAGACTCAAGATGTAAGTCGGTCTCTCCCTTTGAAGCTCAAGTTTTAAGGAGTGCAAAATCCAAGTCTCCTAGGCCGCGCTCTCAAGCTGCGTGGGCATAAAAAATGGTGTTGAACCCACCGTGGAGGACTTTGGAAACTGCCACCCCCAACATTCATCAAGTGGAGCGCATGGAAGCATCAACAGAAGCACGAGAGGAGCAATCCTTCTCCCAGGCGCGGGCGCGCATGAGTGTGGCACGGGCGCGCAGAGCAGGGGCGTGGCCGCAGAGCTCTGCTTCCCCGTTCCATACCCACTTCTTCGCGGCCGCACATATTGAGGAGAGGGCGCGCCTATTACGGTTCTTTTTGGACGTCTTACTAACTCCTCCTTTGTTAGTTTTACTATATATATAATTTCTTCCTTTTTAGAGAGAGAATTAGACTAGCAGAATTTGTTTTTAGAATGGATTTTTAGAGAGAGAAGCTCAATTTGGGGAAACTTTTGTTCTTAGATTCTAGAGAGAGAAACTTGGTGATTTTGATGAATGCTACTTTCAATCTTCTTCCTCTTTGATACAGTTTTAGTATTTGATTCTTGATATTTGGCTGAAGTTCTAGTTGTTTGTTCGATTTGATTTTTGATAGCTTAAGTATAATTTGAATACAATGTTGATGATGAAATTGGTGATTAGTTTAATTTTGTTATTCAATTTTGCAATGTGTAGTGAGTAGATTGTTTGTTAGGGATGTGGTGAAGCATGTATGAGTGATAATTCATAGCTAATTGGGGGATCTTGATCGATCAATATTGTGATTAAAGTGGTTGGTGAAATTTGTGCATGTGTGTTGATGTCTTGAGGAGTGATCAACCTTAACTATCATGCTAGATTGTATAGTAGTTTTCATTGATACGACACATTGATTTGGAAGCTATTATTACCGATTGATTTTGTTTTGCGATTTTCCTTTGAATGTCATTCGTAGAGACCACTATCTTAACCCAGGAAATTGCGTTTTCTACCTTCCCAGCTTCCCTCACATTATTCGATTGGTTGAATTCTTGCCCAATTAGTATGAATTTCGTGAATGCATGTGGATCCTAATTCCCTAGCATCCTTGATATCGTTCTTCATATTCATTTAGTAGCATTGATTAGTTTGTTTAGACCAACCTTTACATAGACTTCGGGATAGCTTAACTTGAGACTATAGCTTATACCTCATTCCCTTGGGTTCGACTCGAACTTACCCCTATACCTAGGGTTGGGTTTAGTTATAAATTTGGTTTGATCGGGGGAGTCTTAGAACTCAACGACCTAGGTTTTCCTCCCGTCATGATTCCGTAACCCGAATTCGAGCCATAATCAACCGTAGCCCCGCACAACCGGAGACCAAATTAAATACAAATAAAACCTTGTCTTTCGAAGGGGTCCGAAAAACCTTGTCTTTCGAAGGAGATAAAAAAAACATAGTCTTTTGAAGGAGATAAACCCTTTCTTTCGAGGGAGACATTGTAACCTAAGAAACAAAAAACTTAAAAGAAAATAAAGATTGGGGCTTTCAACCGGTGAAATCCGATGGAAGCCCCTTTAAAATTGGCAATGGAGGCTAGAGTTTACGAGAGAGAAGAGAGAGAAGCTAGAACTGTTATCATTTTTGTTGAACTTAAATTATTTTTAATGAACTCAAATTAATCTTATTGAATTGAAATTATTTTGCTAAACTGAAATTATATTTATTGATTTTTTTTTTATTATAGTTCTTTTTTGGGTTTATTGATTTTTACTGAACTGAAATTATTTTTGCTGAATTGAAATTAGTTTTATTGAAATGAAATTATTTTACCGTATATAATTTGTTTTAGGTAAAGTGAATACCGAACGGGGCCTAAATGGCTAATTAGGCTTATTTCATATTGATGGACCCAAATCGGGTCCGATCCAATAAAAAGTGTTGAATGGAAAAATGGGGCAGTGGAAGGGTTAGGGTTTTAGGTCGTTTAAAATATCAGAAAACCTCTTCCTTTCTCCAATTTACTCTTAGCGCCTCCGACGAACCAATCTACACTCTGCAACTTCGAGGTTTTTCACTCTCTTCCCTCTCCTCTCTCTCGCTCCATTCAATTTCATACTTTCATGTTTTTGTAATTTATTCATACCTTTCTTGTTTATTCTTGTCAAATTTGTATCAGATAAATCCATGATTTATCTACAATACTATTACTGTACTTAGGGTTATTGAAATCCATAATTTGTTATGTTATTCATATATACGTTTTAGGGTTTTCCTGTAATTGATATTATCATCCGCTCTATTTGAAATGTTATTGAAATCGACAATTTGAAAAATTATTGTAATCGATAATTTTAAATGTAATTGGAAATGTTATTGTTATATAAGTTTTAGGGTTATAATTTTTTATTTTATTATTTTTTTTTTCCTGAAAATTTGAATAAATTAACTGTATGCGTGCTATGATTAATTTCACAGACGGATCAATACTTTTGACTTAGGTTAGGGATTAATAATACATTAATACGTAGTGTATATTATCAATATGATAAAATCATGGTTATAATGCCTTTTGGTTTGTGGATTGGTCAAAGCGATAACATATGTAGTTTACTCTGCTCATAAATTTGATCATCGCTTGAATGTCCGACTTTCTAATTCTCGGGTTGCTCTCATTATTTACAGGATAAGAGAAGGTTTGCATCAATTTACCTACAATGTCTGGGTATGTTCTTAACTATCCAATTTATATGTTTTATTTTGCTTCTAAGAGAAGTTCAAAGTACTTGAATGAATGTGTCAAAAAAAGTACTTGAATGAATGTGTTTGGTGGCCCGAGTTTTTATATGGTTATATTGAATTGGTTTTAGCGAGGAGGTTGCTGTTGCTGTTCCGGCTACTGAGACCCCTTCTCCGTTGGGGGAGACCATGGACCTGATGACTGCTCTGCAGCTTGTTCTCAAGAAGTCTCTGGCACACGGTGGCCTTTCCCGCGGACTTCACGAGGGTGCCAAAGTCATTGAGAAGCATGCTGCTCAGCTCTGCCTGTTGGCCGAGGACTGTGACCAACCTGACTATGTCAAATTGGTCAAAGCTCTATGTGCTGAGCACAACGTTAACTTGCTTACTGTTCCAAGCGCGAAGACCCTAGGCGAGTGGGCTGGTGTAAGTTACTCTACTATTGAATTTCTTTATGTTAATTTTCATTTGTTGACCTTATTTTGTTGTTTGGAGGGGTAATGGGATTATTGTTTGCAACTCACACATACTTTACAAATGTTTAACTTTCTGGTTGAGCGTAGATATCTTTCATCTTTAGATTAGCTAGCAGTTAATTTGGATATCATCCAAGCATAGATATCTTCTTTTATATACCACAACTTTGTTGAGTTTTTGAGAAATATGCACAATGATGACCTTTCAATAAAGCTCATTTATGCTAATTTTTTTCCCAATACTTCTGCAGCTTTGCAAGATTGATTCAGAGGGGAAAGCAAGGAAAGTTGTTGGCTGTTCATGCGTAGTAGTTAAGGTAGAGATTCCTTGTATTGTCTTTGTTGGTTGCTTGAAGAGCTACATCTTTTTTGTGGGCTAACCATATTTTTGCTTGCTGTTTCAGGACTTTGGTGAGGAGTCAGAAGGGCTCAATGTCGTGCAGCAGCACATCAAGTCTCACTAAATCGCTCACATATGAGATTCCTTATCAGTTAGGGGGCTTTAGCTCTGTAGTAATTTTTGTTTTGGAGTTGTGATTTTCATCAGAAATTTTTTGAATGTTTTTCGATACATTTTGCATTTTTTAATCTCAGAAGAGGCTCTGTTTGTTTGCCAGGTTTGTGAAATCTGCCTCATGTTTGGTGTTTTCCGCCTGTCTTATGTCTTTTGCTGTGGGTTTATAACTCTATGCCCTTTCTTATTATCGAAAAAAGATATTAGTATATTACAACCTATAACGATTACATTTATAGGAATAAAACTCCCCAAACCATCGTGATTTTCACTTAAGTTAATTGGTTTTTAATAAAGTTTGTTTGTTTGTTTTTTTTTAGGGTCTAGAATCCATAAATACTTGCTGGTCCTTAATTTGTCAAATACCAAATATGTTGATGCCTCCTTATATCCCACCTCTGCTCTTAACGGCAGTAGAAACTTCTTCCATTCCAAAGTATGAGCCCTTAACTGGGTGAGGTTATACCCTCAAGTTATAATGGCTTTCCTTCCCCACTCTTACATACTGCTTAGCATCTTTATATAAGTACTCTCTCTAATGCTCCCTCACTTTGAGAATTCTCACGAGAGGTAGTGCTAGTAATGAATAGTTGCTTCCTTTCTGTGAGCACCTCACACAATTCCTCCTCTATCAGCATACCTTTTCTTGTGAAGCCTTGAGTAATCTTCCCCATCCAAATTTTCCTTCTTACCCTATAGCCGGCTATAGGTACACACGCATAACATAAAGAATCTTTGTTACATACACTTGGTTTACAATAAAATTAATGTAAATTCGGATTTCTTACGAGTTAACCGTACCATCGCATTACTTTTTTTTTTTTCAAAAGCCAACAAAAACACATAGCCAAACACTTTTAGAAAAAGCTTAAAGCTCAAAAGCATCAACTATAGAGAAGAAGAATGGAAACTCTACTTCTAGAAAAAACTTAAATTGAAACCACCAACAATAGAGAAGAATAGACGAAGAGTTTCCAAGAAAAAAAAACTTGTTAGTACTAAAGTTGCCCTTTTTCCTTGAAACAAATTCCCAACGAGAACTAATTAGTCATTAATCAAATATAAATCATCCAAGACAAGCTTACAAATAGAATGAGGAAAAATCTCATGCCAAACAGATTTACCAATACTTCAACACTGCACATGAGCTAATTCATGTGCCGCGCATGATTACTCCCTCTTCTCACCCATGCCCAAGAAATTGAAGAAAAGCAAAAGCAACCTGCTAGGTGAAGAATATAATCAATCAGCAAATGGAAAGAACTACTGCCTTGTTCTTTATTATTTATAGGTCTAATGACCGACTCATTATCATTCTCGACCATCAACGATGCAACAATTATGATTTAAAGATCAACAAAAAATTTATACTTAGAAGATGTTTCTAATGCAAATATGGTTGCCAGCCTATAATCTTGATATTAGTATCATCAATTTATTTGTTGTCATCCAATAATTTTAAGTTTTCAATAATTGCGTAAGTCTCATTTTTTTTTTTTTTTTAATTTTTAGAAAATAAACATATATAAAATAACCTACCTCATTTCTTAAAAAAAAATAAAGAGGTTGAACATCTAAATATCCTTTTCCTCTTTTAGCCAAATAGATGTCCATATCTTTTGAACTCTTCAAAATTCAAAATGATGAAGGAAAATTTTGTTGAGGTAGCACGTTCTATGCTTTTTACTCCTCAAAGAAAATCAAATTTGTGTAAATTAAAGACCATCATAGAAGAAATACCTCAAAGACACGAGATCGTTCTTAAGAGAATTTTTGTTGCACTTCCTATACTTTTGTCAATGATAATGTATTTTGCGTTCTACAAAAATGTTGCTTAAGGTAAAGGAAACATTGTTTCATAAGAATATATGTGTAATATAAAAGATTTGGATGCCTATTATTTTATCAAGAGGTTTGGAACTAGCCAAAGGATGAAGGAATATGTCATTCTTAGAAATTAGAGTAGTTTTAAATTTATATGACTATTAGCCATTCATTGTTTGTCTATGAAATAAGAATTGTTGGTCAAAGCACCATGAGCATCCTTGAAATTACTTCAATATCTTTATCATGCTGATTGCTAGCAAATTGAAACATTAGCAAAATTAGTCTGATGCTTCACACCACTAGTCTTTTTGTCATAGCCCTTGATTGCACTGTTGTTGTTGTTTTTTTTTTTTTTTTTTTTTTTTTTTTTTTTTTTTTAAATTTTTTTTTCAATTTTTTATTTATTTTATTTTATTTAATTTTTTAAGCCTCCATATAAAGGGTACATTAGTTTATAATTTGACTATAGACAACACACAAACTCTTTAATACCCTTAAACTCTTCTCTTGAAAAAACTAATAATATTTGTAATACATGCTTTAGAGAGAAACTTACAGCTTGTTTGGATACGATTTCAAGACGGAAGGGGAGGGAAGGGGTAGGGAGGGGAAGGAAGAGAAGGGGAGGGGAGGGAAGAAAAGATTCACCTCCCTTGTTTGGATAGAAGAGAAAGGAAGGGAAGGGAAGGGATAGCAGTGTAACACCATTCACCAATTTGCTGCATCATTTCAGAAATATAAATAAATAAATAAAAAGGTAAAAAATTAATGAAAATCAATTGCATTAGAATGAGAAACACGAAAAATCAAAGGTATTGTGTTAATACATAACTAAAACATATTTTTGTAAGTTGCAATTGATGAATTGTTTCACACAAACAGCTTGAGCAAGAGATTGAAATTGACGAGAACCTCGACAATTAGGTTTTCGCAATTGAAAAAATGCAGAATCGAGGTTGAATTTCTGAATTTGTAGCAAAAATTCGACTCAATTGCTAATTGAAGCACAAATTCGAGATTATTAAAGATTGAAAGAAATTGAAATTAATGAAATAGGGATGCCAAACCCTAGAATTTGGGGGAAAAATAATTCTGGAGAGCAGTAAAGAGAGAAAAATACTATAGTTGAATATATCAAAATGATGAAAATAGAAGGGTACATTGGTCTTTTTACAGTAAGTCATTTTGTATAATATGTTTCCTTCCAATCCTTTCAAATTTGGAAAGATTTTATTCATTAACAATTAATGAAATTTTTTTCCTTCATTTCCATCCCCTCCATTTCTCTTCCTCCCTCAAATTGTTATCCAAACAATGCATTTAGCCCCCCTCCCTTTCCCTTCTCTTCCTTTCCCTCCATTTCTTCATATCCAAACAAACCCTTAGAGATATTATTGATATGTCCATTTTATATAATAATTTACCCTCGTCCATTGGTCATAATTAGTAGTGTTTTTGGCTCTTTCGAGCCACTTTTATTACTAATTGGTGTTTTCTAGTGTTTTCGTAGTCTTTGTTGAGTTTTGTAGGGAATTGCACCTTTGGAGCATTTTCTCGGGTTTTTCATGGAGCGACTACGGGAATTATAAGAGCACGGCCATCTTTGAAGCCCAAGGCCGGTTAGAGTCATCGAGCTGGTGATTAAAGGCTCGGTAATCGGGATACCGAGGTACTTGGACCGAGTATTCAAGACCCGAAGAGGAAATCCGGATTGGGCCGAGAAATCAAGCCCAATGGAAGTCCAAGCCTCGGAGAGAATCAAGGGCCCGATCGGGCAAGCTAGCACGATTGGGCGCGGCATGTATGGTGCTGGTGCGTGGCCTATAGCGCGCCTGATTGTGCGAGCATCTAGCTCGATCGGGCGACGCTGCTGAGAAGGAGCGCAAGGAAAAAGGCGCGCCCGATCGGGCGCGTGTTTTTACCAGACCTGATTAGTTTAGTTTAATTTTTGTTTTGAGGAATGTTTAAGTACGAATTATGTACGTAATTTTGGTTTACCTTCTTATTTAGATTTTTCTCTCTCTACTTAGAATATTTCTCTCTCTAAAATTTCTCTCTCAACTTTGTTCTTAATTATTCTCATTAATACAGATTTCCTTTGGTAACTATTTCTCTTCTCTTAATCTTAGTTGTTATCTTGTTCCTTTAATCATGTCTTGCTTTAGTGCTTTGATTTGTTTAGTTTTTATCATGTGTGAGTAGTTTTATTTCTAGGGTTTATTAGGGTTTGATTTGGTGCCGTTGCCGGGGAGACGGTTTTATTTTTATTTCTGATTATTTTTGTAGTCTAGGTTATTTTCTTTTTTGTCTCAAAGAACATTAGTTCTCTGAGGCAAATCTCATATTTGTTTCTAGTTTTTGTTTATGCCCAGGTGTTCCAGATCAGGGTACATCCCATTCGATCCTGAGATCGAACGTTTCTTCCATAGACAGAAAAATCTCTACAAGAAAATCCTGTCGGATTCTGGTGATAATAATAATCACCGAGACCCTCCAACTGGTTCTAGCGATTCAGAGGTATCATCAGATCTAGAATCAGAGATGACGACTCCAAAGAAGCTTAGTGATTACTCACAACCAAAGCTTACAGATTTTCCACATCTCACCCCCACTCCGGCTCTTGATGGGGTTCAATTCGAAATTAAACCTCAATTTATAACGATGATAGAGAGGAAGCAATTTAGTGGAGCTAAGGGTGAAGACCCGAATCTTCACATTGCCGACTATTGTCAATTTGCAATACCATCAGGCAAGCCGGGGTCACTCAAGACCAAATCAGGGAGATTCTCTTTCCCTTCTCTTTAACTGGAAAAGCTAAATTGTGGTTTAATGGCTTAAATAGAACTGCACTTGGTATAACTGATTGGGAAACTCTTTTCTTGAATTTTTATAACAAATATTATCCTGCAGAGAGAACAACCGTCCTACGAAGTGCGATTCAGAACTTTGCCCAAGAAGCCGATGAATCCTTATATGAGGCTTGGGAGAGGTTCAAGGACCTACAAAGAGAATGCCCTCACCATAATTTAGCACAATGGCAGTTAATCCAAGCCTTTTATAATGGCATTGGAAATTCTTCTAGAATAATTTTAGATTATGCAGCTAGTGGGAGATTTATGAATCTTAATGTTGATGATGTAGGTCAAGTTATTGAAGATATGTCAATACACAATTCCCAATATGGGAATCCTAGAGGATTTGCTAACAAGGGGAAACATAGTGTTGACTCTGTATCCTTTTTGCAAGCTCAACTGACCTTTATATGCCAAAAATTAGATAATCTTAGCACTGCCAATGTAGCTAATGTTTCTGCAATTAATAATAATTCTAATGAGGCTTTCTGTGAAAATTGTGTTATTATAGGTCATTGGGAACAAGATTACAGGATTTTC